TTTTTTTTCTTGGACCAGGAGAGGGCACGCACTCACAACCACTGCCATTCGATACAGTCTCCCCTGTCCACAAATGTAAAGGTCATCTAGGGTGTCACCTCCTGCGGTAACACCACATGGGTGAATGTCATGAGTAAATTAAAATGCCCTATCTTTGACTTCCAGTCCTTTGGATAATGGGTAGTTAATACTCTGAGCCAAATCCATGCTCTGCTTCACTACTCTATTGATTTCACCGAGACCTTCCCTGCTCTGCACTCCATCCAAAGAAACACATCTGGCGGTCTCCCTCTCTCTTCTGTGGAGATGCCTGTTGGCTCTTTGACCTTTTGTCTAGTTTTCAACCAGGTGCTGTATTGCTGTGTGTCTATTCAGTGTTTAACGTGAATTCATTCGTGTTCTATATCTTCTGAAGTGTTAATACGGACTAGGCGAGCAGCCTTTTTGGAGAAAGCTTCATGGGGGGAAAAAAAAAAGCATTTTATTCATGGTCAAATCTGTAAGCCATTTCTATTTTCCTGATAATCAAAGCATCTCTCACTGTAAGGAGGTGCAATTGTAAGTTATTTACCGATATCCCACTGTGTATTCAGTGAGACAGCCTCTCTTTCTCTGCCACCACCCCCACCCTCACCACAGCGCCAGCCTCCCTCCCGATGCCGCTCGGCTGTGGGATCGCTGGTTCAAGCACGCCCTTCTGCTGAAGGAGCGCCATGTCCTCAGCACTGAGCGCTTGGTCCAGCTGTTCACGCCGCTGCTGCTGGAGCGCCATGCCACCTACAGCCACCAGGTAGCGTTGGAGGCACGCACACTGCCGCGACACACACACACAAATAGGAGGTCACACACACACACACACATATGATTGTAGTGACATGCCTTCTTTTTTTCTTCATTTCTCTAAAAAGGCTTGTGTTTTTGTTTCTTTGCATGTTTTTTTGTTTTTTTAAAGAGAGCTGTAGTTGGTACTGAGTGCCCTCTTTGTGTCTGGTGTTTGAAACCAAGCCCTGCCTGCCGACTCATCAGATTGCTCCACACGTTGACCTAGACAGAAGGGAAACCCTGACCCAAGCGCTAATCGCAAATTACAGCCTCTGCTTGGCTTCTTTCATCTCACGTGGCGTATTCATGTGAGAAACACTTGCTTTTAATTTGGCATTAGCCAAAAGTATAGCCGTCAGCTGGGTCCCGATGGGATGAGGCAGCCATCGGGACCCTCTCCACAACGGACAAGATTATTTTAGATTTCCCTCTCATTGACCTTGTGCAGATCAATTAAACAAAGAAAGCAATTGCAATTGCATATTGACACTTAAAACCCAAAGATTATGTTAAGAGATTTGTCAAGAATCCGACTTTTTTTCAGAAGGTGTACCATTCTATCTGCAGGATACACATGCAGGTTTTCATGTTATAATTTTCTGCGGACTCATCTTGGTCGGGGTTCTTGTGGCTCGGAGGTCTTGCTCCAGTGTCCCCAACGCAATGAGAGAGGCTAAGAGGGAGACTGTAGAGCTACTCTAAAATATGAACCAACAAAAGACACTGCCATCTACATCATTTTGTCCAAGTGCATCAGGAAAAGCCTGAGTGAAAATCTTTCTCTCCCCTTTATCTCTCTCCCTCCATCTACTCCATCTATTTCTCTATCCCTCCCTCTATTTCTCCTTTTCTCCCATTATTTCTCTCTCTCTCTCTCTCTCTCTTGCTCCTCTCTGTCCCCTCACACAACAGCTTACTCCCCTCACACAAGAGCAAACAGAAATTTCCATTCAGGCAATGCCACACAGCCTGGCCACTCCGACAAATGGGAGCATGCAGCTCGCATGCACACACTCAAAGAGGTCCTTTGAATATTCAAGTGCTAACAGTTGCATTCATTGATATTTAAAATGCACTGGGTCCGCGAAAGCCCTCAACCCACGGTACATTTGACTAAATCTAAAAAAAGAACAAAGACCGATATCGGGGACAAGGATCAAGACGGTTTTTATTGTGCTGCAACATCAAATACCAAGTGGCAAGCTCAGATTGGTATGTGTTTGCCTCTCTTCCCCTCGAGGAAAATGAAAGCATGTACATTGTCAATCTTCACTGCGACCCACTGATAACAACTTACAATGTACTTAAAGTTTGCCACTGTCGAAATCCTCCTGATCATCCCCTCCCTATTAGTGCTCATTAAAAGTTGCAAATGGCCATCTGAGGCTGAGAGGCAGTCTTTGATCACGAAAGAGAGTTGATGATGGCAGGATTTGATATGGGGGAGGGAAAAAGGGAGAGAAAGGAAATCGGTGTGTGGCATCTCCCTGCTCCTCATCTCCCGGAACAGCTCCTCTTAATTGTGTATCCTCATCTCCCCAGAGATTAAAAAAAATGAGCTGGAGAGGGAGGAAGAGAGCAGTTTGTCTCAATTCTCGCAGCCAAGAGGGGAGATATCTGGAACGTGTTGCACATTAACGCCAGGGTGATTGCATTCTTTAGGCGCTTCTCTAATCTCATGGATGAGAAGAGAGGGAGGAAAAAAAAAAGTGTGATTGAGAGTGAGAGCGGGAGCGAATGTGTGCGAAATAATCTTTTTTTTTTTTTTTTTTTTTTTTTTTTAGTTAAACGAGTGAGAGAATTTGAAGTTAATTTCTCTTGGCGTTTGAACAGGCACCGCGGCTGCACCTCTGTGCGAGCAGCCGTGGCCAAAGTAAATGACTTGCCTAATCGGCGAGAGTTCAATTTGACACTTCCTTCACAAAATGGGAACAATTAAGAGTGTGGTTTTAATTTGTGCCGCTCACAGGCCAAAGTGCTGCTGAGGACACTTGTGTCCCGGTCCAGTGAGGAGTGCCCCTCAGCAGAGGACGAGAGTGACTTGTCTTCTTCGTGTGGTCCTCCTCCTCTCCTGGCTGACGGTGATGTGAAGCCTGCCAGGCCGATACAGAAGCAACAGATCCAAGGTTACTAAAGATTATTAGTATTGAAATAGCCATGGAGCATTCTAATTGGACTACAATATTAAAAAGCTGGGTTCTGGTTATTTGTTACGGAGGAATGGTTTCATTGTCTAGCAGAGAAAAACTAACTCCCCTCAGCGAGTGTTTTTGTTACAGTTACCAGTAGAATCCCACAAATGTCCAAAACATCCCACATTGTCTGTCTTTGCACAGCAATATGAAACGAGACCATTAACACTAACAAATGTAGACTGCTGCTATTTTTTTTTTTTTTTTGCACACCACACCTCTGCAGAGAACTAAAACTTTGCTTTTATGAAAGAAATCAATTTCACCATAGAGCCTTTTTTATTAATCCCTCACGGCCCAGTTTTCCTACAGGCTTCTATTCAGAGCTAAAGAAAGACCCCCCCCCCATTCCCATTGCTGTCCCGAGACTCCCGTCCTCCCTGCCACTGCTTCTCACTATGCGCTTCCCTTTCTTACAGAACTACAAAGTGCTGAAGAGGACAGCCAGGACGAAAGCCCTGTGGAAAGTGTTCCTATTAGAGGTAAAAAGGCATCGCCGGTGCCCCAGCATTCACACTGTCCTTATGTTGTGGTTTGTTTTCTTCCCACTGCAGTGAATAATGGGCTCTTTTACACACTGGCTGAGGCAGGATGATCAAGGTGGATCCAGGGTCAAAGTACCACCTGAAGAGCTGTGCTAGTTCTCTCTAATTATCTCCGAGAAAACACTAGCTATGTTTTCAACCTGGCCTGAGGCATTCCGGCAAAGTTGATAATTCGCCGCCCGGCATAATGCGCCGCTTTAATTGTCAGGACGCCGGGGTGGGAAGCGCAAGAGATCTGTCATCGGTTCTCATTATCTTCTAAACAATGCTCTGGAAAAGGCTGGACTTGAAAAATACTAGATGTGAAGGCATCCTGGAAGCAGCTGGTGTGCCCATCCCTAAGCCGCACCTCTGAAATGTAAAGCAACCCTATATTACCCATGGCTATCCGATGGCCTACTGGGTGTTTCATGTGCCTGCATCCCTAAGGTGCACAGCCAGCAAAATGAGTCCAGTTTCAAATGGCTACACTTAATCAAAAGAGCCATCGCCATTAAAAAAGAAAACATGACAAAAGATTTTACGAGGGAATGGGTTTGCTGGGGCGAGCGACATCAATGTTACAATCAAATACCGTGACCTTGGTACTGATAGTAATTGCCAATGCATGCATGTCTGTACGTTCTTTTTTTTCATGACTTCATGTAAAAGCAATGCCTGTATAACGTGCTGTGGGTGGAATAGCACTGTATATATCATATGTTTTCTTAGAACATGACTAAAATTGGCACTTTTTTTTTTGACAAACCAGGTAAAGCATGTTAGGATTTGGTCATTCAAGAGCACAATGTTTCCCTCTCCTTTGATTTGATATGTGTGTTTCAGCAACATCATTGAGACAACAGCCTATTTATTATGTACTTCTGCTTTGTTTTGTTTTTTTGCCAGTACAGTCTCTTTGCTCCTCTCGAATATGGTACCTACTTTAGTGTTGCCGGAAAGTAATTATGAGTGTTTTTAAAACAGAAAATCAATCATTGCCGTCCTGGTAGGGGATGCTGCGATAATGTGAGATGCCGATCGCTGTCTCATGGAAACTGTTGCTACATACTGTAGGCTAGAATCAACAGCTTAGCTGATTGAGCACTGTGTTTTCCCCCTCACTCCGTCCAGCAGTGAGAGCAAAAGACTCGGCTACTGAAGCGTGTTGTCTCATCAAACACAGAAACCTCTGAAAGTTGGAAACCTGGGTTTTAAGCAAATATTTGACAGTGACTTTTTTTCTCTCTGTGTGTGTGTGTGTGTGTGTGTGTGTGTGTGTGTGTGTGTGTGTGTGTCCCTGAACAGAGACAAAAGCTTATCAGTTACTTAAACAATCAGCCATGCAGGAAAGGCTGCAGAGTTCTGAAGAGGAGGAGGAGGAGGACGATGGCCTCTCAGGTAAGGGATGCGGGCCACTCTACCAGGCAACTAGCGAGCAACGGGAGCCTAACCATCGGTCAACACTGGCCATATGTTCTCACATAATGACATCACAGCAGGACCATCATTTTTGTGCTCATAGATTTAAGCTAAAAGCAATCAGTCCAGGTTTTCTCAGCCTTTTGTTTTGGCTCGTAATCTAATTATTTTAGCAATGACGGACTTCACCACTTAACATAGATATCAGTGTGCATGTCAAGACACCAAGATTGAGATACATACAGTAGTCTTTGCCCCTCATCAGCCTTACCATAAATTTTTACGTTAATATGCATTTCAGATTAGCTTGTGATGAGATGTCCAAATCAAATGGTTTTATCTGGCCCTGTTTGCTCTTTTAAGGAATAAATCATGGCCATGAAGAGGACCTGGGGAGGGCCAAACGCTCCTCACATCAAGACCCTTACCCTCGGTAAGAACATTGTTATTATTCAACGGGCCACAGGAAATGGGCCACCAGACACCAAAGTGGTTGATGTACATTTGCATGGCCGCTCTCATAATTCCCTGTTCATTTCCATAAGATCAAGGGGGCGCCACCCATTAACTCGCTTACAAAGACAAAAGGCCCCTAAAGCCCCTCTCACTCACCGTTTGCTGGCTTCAGCCGGGTTTTAGAAATCAAAAACAAAAACGGACACCACAAAAAATAAATTGGGAGTCATAATCTCGCTGGTGTCAGGCTTGTCGTCAGAAGGCAAACAGATCATGTCAAGAAGAGAATCAGGGACAACTGTTTTGGAAGGAGGAGACTCAAGTGTTGACAAGGACAAATGTCCTTTTCATTTTTCACCCTCGAAGAAGCATTTAGGCTTCTCAAATCAGAGCCGTAAGTGGGCTGGAAAAGAAGATCTAATGATAAATAGCTCGGTGGAAGCTAACACCGCCGCGGCTACATTTGAATATCAACGCGACTTCATCAAATCTGCAATTGCGTGTCGGGTCCTCAGAGCACCTCTTCACTGCGAACCCATTTGGGCTGCAGTAATGGCTGGGTAAACGTTATGAGGAATAATCTTCTCTGATTTCATGTGATTACTGGGCACCATGCTGACACAAGGGCTGAAGTCTGTATCTCCCTGGCCTGGCAAGCAGGCGCTCCCAGTCTGCCTATTAGCCCAGGGAAGGGCCTAATGGGCTGGCTCTATTGTGGCTCTTCATAGCTGCTGATGTCTGCCACTGCCAGCCCCAGTGACCACCCTCTTTAATTAATAAACATGAGCCAATTTCAGCACCAGACCCTCTCAGGTGGTGCCTGTCCTGTTGTCATTAATGCGCGTGGAATGCCCGCACTATATGTGATTAAACAAAATTTGCAGGACAAAACAAAAAAAAATGACAGAAACAGAGAACGATGTGATCTGTGATGAGACACAAGTTGTGGACATAAGCAAAATTGGACGAACGGGTAGTAATGCATGCCTGACGCTGTAATCTCACTAGGGTTAGGAAGGAGGTGTCGACCAGTCACCGTGACCATAATCTTTTCTTTGGTCATGCAACCCCCCCCCCCCCCCCCCCCGTCTTCTCTTTGCTTTTCCTGGACGCTCAGATTTAAGCATTCCAATTACCGCAGTCACTTCTTGCACTTTATAGCTTCCACGAGTGGTCTGGAAGCCCTGCACTTAAGCAGAAGCATAACACTCTCTGTGTCTCTCTCTCTCTCTCTCTCTTTTTGCCCCTTCTCCATCTACTTGCCCCGCTTCCTCTCTGTCTTCCTGTGTTTTCCTTTGCCCCCCCCCCACACTTGTTAATTATTTGCTTTATTTTGTCAGCTAGCTGATGAGTGACATCAAAAGGAGGATGGAGCTGGACTCAAAATACAGAAATGGCTTCCTCTCTGTTGTCTTAGACAATAATTATGATTTGCCAGTTAAGCCTGGACTACAGCGGAGGGATTGTAGTTTAAAGCAGAGGCTTTGGTGCAAAAAATGCATTTATAGCCCTTTGTGAGGCTCCTCATTATGTGTGGGCCCGATTCATTAAGTAATTGGTTTGCAGTTGTTTACATGAGTATTAAGGCCTTCTATTCAGGGCCTTTGAGAGATACATTGTGCAAATGTTGCATGTTATGAATGCAGAATGAGAGGCGGGGGGCCAGTCCTATTGGCCAAACACTGCACTAGGCTGAAAAGCGAGAGAAAAGCACTGGGTGCTGCTTTGCATAGCAATGACTAGGGCCTTAATAAGCTTTACAGATTAAATACATGCAGTCTATACAAGATGCAAAGAGATACTCTTAACACATTTATATGTGCTCATTTCACTATTATGGCGTTGGAGAGAATTGAGGTCTTTCATATTCTTTATTTCCACCCCCCCCCCTCTCCTCCTTGCTCTCTCCCACACAGTGTTTTTCAGTCAGATACTTTCATAGAATGTGCTGTTTATTGTATTATAACTCGTGGGGAAGCGACTGATTTGTCCATTACAAATCTTTTGCTGTCTTTGTGAGTGGCAAAGTAAAATCACTTTGTGGTTGAGTGGGGATGAAAGGAATAATGCACGAAGGAGTGAGTCTTAATAAGCAGCTGCACTCCATGTAAAGACCACTTGTTCCCCTTTGTGTGCGAGTGCATGCCACTGCTTCCTCTGGTGCAAAGAATCATTGTGCTCCTTTCTACTGTAGGCATTTCAGATGCCACTCCTTTCTTATTTTTCTTTTTTTCTTCTTTTCTTTTAAACCCCCCCACCCCCCCCACCTGTTTGAACACATGTGCACAGGCACACACATACAAAACAAAATCCTCCAGCTATCAGCCGGTGTGATGATTGTTGTGCCTAGTGCCTGCTTGACAAAAAACCTTGACTCAACAATTAGTGGTTTACAGCTTTGCCTTGGACAACAGGATGTGCTCAAGCATTCAACCTCAAATCACTCAAAATGTCAAAATCAGAAGCTCTCTCTCTCTCGCGCTCGCTCTCGCGCTCGCTCTCGCTCTCTCTCTCTCTCTCTCTCTCTCTCTCTCCCCCTGATGTGTGGATCTCTGACAGCTCACTGGGAGGAGGGAAGGAGGGGTGAGAGGGACATTAGCTGAGAGAAAGGACTGGAGGGGAGGGGACATAGAGAGAGAGAGAGGGAGAGAGCGGGAGATAGAGGGAGACAGAGAGACAGTGACGGACAAAGAGGTAGTGAAAGACGTATTCCTGTTCTGAAATCCAGTGGTGAATGAAGGGAAACACATGTAAACAATTTAACTGGCAATATCACGTGGCAGCATCTCAGAATGTTTGTTTTTGGAGAATAGTACTGACTACGTTTTTCTTTTTTCTTTTTTTTTTTCACATTTGACAATAAATGAGTTGATCTCCTTCAGTTTGGACCAAAGAATATGACAGAGGTTATAGAGAGAGGGAGCATTGAGAGGCTCCAACCAGAGGAGGTCACTGTCCCACAAAAGCTACCTCAAACCAGTAAAGATTGCTCTATTAAAACAAACAAGTTGGCTTTCAAACACTTTCTGTGCTTTATCTTAACATTATTGACTCAAGTAAGCTTTTTAAATGTATTTGCTCTTCATCTGTCTGCAGGCTGTTAGACAAGGACAATAGACAGACATAATCATGAATTTTGAAATCTGCTGTAATTTACTAGGATGTCATTTCTAAGGGCATTTTGTTGGTTTGCTCTTTATACTAACATGGTCGCATTTTTTAGATGCAGATGTGTGTATGTGTCGGACAAGCCGGTCTATGTTAGTCCACAGGGGTTATGGTGCATGAACAAAATGTAACATGAGATGATCTGTCCTTCAGCCACCCCTTGCACTGGCCGTCTCCACTAGACTGCCACCAGTCAGGAGGAGAGCGGCGCTCTGTTGAAGTCATTGGCCCCGATACCTCTTCCTCTAAGTTGCAGTACTCACTCATTGCCAGCAGAGAGCACTCACATGTTAGAGAGGGCCCACTCACAGTTGCCTCTCACTGTTTGCCCTCAGTGAGCGCTACATCCTGCTACCATTCAGGCCTGTTAGAGTACATCTAAACGGAGCCTAAACAATGTTTCTGCGGGGGTCATAGCTGGGATGGGAGTAGGAGTTGATGGGAATGATGAGGTGATGGGTCTCCCTTTACCTTTAGACAAGCACCGCTGTGCAAAAGTGCTATTGTGCTATTAGCATTTGTGTGTGGGTGGCAGGAGCTTATAAAAAAATAAAAAAGCCAGGGTAAATAAAAGCAGTTTTCTCGCTATCTGCGTGTGCAGGGTTGTATTAAATGCTTGGTAAGCATTATTTCCTCTGTCAGTCCTCACATTCCCTAATGTGACTGTAGGATTACAAGTCAGTGAGTCCAAGCAACAGCCTGTAGTCTAGCTTGAAAATGACTTATGTTCTGTATGAAGATGTCTTTGTCCATGTGATATTTATGGTCAATGTCTAGCTACAGCACTGGACACATTCTTTTATAGAGTAAACCTAGATCAGATGTGTGATTGCAGCCTTTTTATAAGTTGAATTGTCTGCTACTTTAACTGTAGCACATGAAAATGTTATGTACAGCACGTCGTTTAGGCTGAACAGGTCTGCCTTGACACAGTTGAAAACAGTAATCTCAACGGACCACACTTGTATTTGTGAGAAATTAGTTAGTGTAGTTAGTGTGTATTTGCTCCACAGTAGATATACCTTATAGAGATATCGCAAATGATTTGGTGAAACGGAATCGGGACGCTGCTCTCAGGAGCAAACCAAGCAAATTGTGGCAAAGAACAAAAATGGAGCGTGCTACACCGAGAATCGTCTCAAAAGGACTTTAATCAGATTGTCTTGCATTTAAGTGGCAATCGCGGCACGTTTTTACAGTTCTTGACCAGCTGTGCATCTGTTTTTGCGTACAATGTACCAGAGATATGTGGTAACATGATTGTCCTGGTTTTGGTGTAATTAGTATTTTCCCTCTGTTTTCCAACTGTATTACGAACCTGCATAACTCGTCTTTTTACAACCTGACCTTGAAAATGTCTAAATATGTAAATTCAGGAGCTTTAACTCAGCTCCTAGAAAACCAGTGTGGTGCAAACTGACAAAACAAGACGGAGGTTTGATTAAGGAAATACACAGACATCAAGCTCCAGTTGTGTGTGAAACCCATCGTACAATTTTAAAGGTTGTTGTGGACTCCCGCTATAAACAACAATATGAATTGTAAAGGAAGGAGAAAGAGAGTGAGCGAGGCTTTGGGGGGGGGAAAAAGACATTACAATAGCTGTAATGTGCTTCATTTTACCAGTCTACCTGTCTAGAGCTCGTAAAACACTGGCCAGCCCAGTCTTACATATTCAGATCATTTGCCTCAATTAAGGGAAACTCAGCAGAAGATGAACTGGCATAAATGTTTATGGAAACGGAATATTAGATTGGTGGGGTCAGATCCAGATCGGGCTCTCTATGGTAATAGCCCTGTCTTGAAATCAGCCCTGTCCCTCACTGAAGTGGAACAGCTGATAGACTATTCCCATCCCCGGGGGGGAGTTCAAGAAAAGAAAAGCCCAATTTACTCTCCATAACAGCTATTATTGTGGCAAAGGAGAGGAAGTAATCGTGTATATTATTGCTGTGTTTTTGCTGCTGCGGGGTCTGGTGGAGATCTATTGTAAATGGATGCAGTGGTTTAGTTGTGCTTCAGCGTCTGTACTTTATCTCCTATTCACTTTAAAAAGCTGAATGTGGATAGCAGGTGGATGACTTTTTTTTAAAATATTGATACATATATATATTCCTCACTTTACTATACACCCTCAGCCTGTTCCATAATCTTTCAACATACCAGGACTTTTGAGCTATAGTTTTTACAAAATATTTGGAATCTTTATAGTCGCGAGAACAACTATGATTATATTTTCTTTCTGGTGGCCATCTGTCAGTGTAGTACGGGCAGTATAGGAAACGATTCTGCCAAGTAAGAAGAGCTCACATTTGCTGTTCTTAAACATAGTGCAGTCTAGGGATAACAATACCCACCATCGTTTTGGACATATTTTGCCAAACAAAATCCTCTATTTTAACAAAACACTGTCATTTGCAAGCAGATAGGCCGATTATCGGTCATTGTGTCTTTGCTCTCCGTTTGTTGGCACCGTTTCATTGACTCAGCCTCTGCTTTGATTTGCTAGCATTTTAAGCACCTGAGGTTCAGCATGTTGTCTGAACAGATGCAAGAATCATCCAAATGTCCTGTAGGAAGCCCCTTCAGCATATGAATATAAAGGGTATATTCTAATGATTATGGTATATTTTGCTTTTAGCACCAAGCAATCTGTTCACAGTTAGGAATGGGAGTTGCATCTTTTATTTATTTATTTTTTTTGGTTCTCTCGCATGCTACCTTGAGTGGTGCAAAGCAGGAATATATAGTTTGGAAGACAGCAATTGGAACGCAGCCAGAGTAATTTGCTCCTTATACTCAATGTACAGTCACATGTGCCAAGACTTAGCGGAGGGAGAGAGGAGGAGATTGAGAGTATGACAATCAAAGAGGTCATGGGTTTGAATTGATGCAGATGGAGGCGCTCAACAGTTTTTTTTTGTTTTTTTTTTTTTGCCAGAGCTCATCTGCTGAAAACTCTGCATCTTTTTTTTTTTTGTCCTCTTCCCATTTCCTAGAAAAGCGTCAACACAGCTCCAATATAGAAGGTCCAAACAAATAAACCATATGGATATGTAAGCTAACCTGGGAGATGATGAGGCTATATTGTGGGCTCTTGAATAGGCTCTGTGATGATGTAAATTAAAGAGGAGGCCTTTAAAAGTGGAATGGAGGGGGGGGGCCTTATTGCATATGCATTGAGGTAGATCAAAGCCTTTTTGGAGGTCACACATTTACATAGCGATATCATCAGAGCTATGGGAACCTGGCAACCCTGCCTTTGGGACTATTTTTGAATAAAGAGGGCCTTGTGGAAGACCTTTTGCACAATTAGAACAGGAGTCAAGGAAGTTCCCTCTGCTGCACCGTCTGCCTGCTTTGTTTTCCTTTTTTTTGGTTGTTTTTGGGTGTAAAATAGAATCTCTTTAAAAAAAAAAAGAGGTAATAACTACAAGGCTAATAACTGTCCTTGTGTTTCCAGGAACTCAAAAGCTCACACTACTCTACAGTCCACAGGTGAGTATAGACAAAGTCATTTCAATTGCATGTGTCATAAAAAAAAATGTCAATTTCATGTTCATACGGTCACTGGCATGCATTTTTGGTGAATGTTGAGCCACGGGAGAACACTAACAGTTTGATTAAATTTCTCTGTAAATGCAGTTCTGCCCTTTTTGAGGATGTGTAAATAATAATTGACCTTGAAGACAAATCCAGGTTGCTGAAAGCTTAGATTTATGTTGCCAGCAAGCAGGACCTAAATCCTCCAATAGATGACTAACACAGTCCTCCTTTGGCTCTGCTGTGTTACTGATCAAACCTTAAAATGCTGCTCTACAGAACCCCTGAGAGATTATTGTTGATTCTAACGAGAGCAGACAGACAATGTTCTTTGCTTCGACATTTACATTGTTGGATAATTATTATATATATATTTGTTTTATCAACACATATCTACATAGTGTCTGGTTCCAGTTGAGGCACGTTGCAGTTGACCACTGGTGTCGGATTGCATCACAGTTTCTCTCACTTCACTGCTCTATAGATTGAATAGACTCACAGCAATGTCTTTAGACCTGAGCTGCCAAATAGATAAAAAGTGACAGTCCTCTGAATACGGCTTGAGCAGTTGAATCTTAATGTATGAGTGCTACACTCTCATCTGTATTGACAGAACAGAACATAGATTTAATGCATATTATCAGGCTGTATTAAAAGGTGGAATGTTAAGATTTTCATAGTGCAGTCAAACTCAAGGTATGATTTAGCTTCAGTGTCTTCATCCTGGAACGCTTATAGAGAAAGCGCAGAATTAAGTGGAGAAAGAAAGTATGTAGATGACGTAAGAGGTTACATCTCATTTAAAGCCGGGAAGGGTAAACATTCTGCTCTAATAACGTATCTCGTATTTCTTTCTCTCCACCTATAGCTTTCTGTGGGCACTCAGATGACAGCGACTCGGAGATTGAAGCAGCATTGCGTCCTCAACCTTTCAACACAAACAACGACGACATCGATGGCTTCTGTGACTGATATTTCCCCGCAGATGTTTTCTGAAATGATCTACATTATTCTGCTGCACAGTCTCCGGCAGTGTGGCTCGCGGTAATTCACCCCCCTGACCAGTATTTTAGTGATCTGCATTGTAAATCATATGCACGCTGTATCGTAAAAAACAAATAATAAAGTTGACAGCTCTCACGCTGGGTAAAGTGCGTGAAGAGTTGTCCAACACTCTGATGTTAACCCTGCTTCAGTCTCTTTATCTGAACAACTCTCCTGGCTCATAATAACAGCTCGAAATAGATTAAACTGATCTTTTAAAGCGATTTGTTTGCACTAGGCTGAAAATCATGCATTTTGAATGCCGCAAGCATCTCCGAGTGCTCTACCTCCAGCATGCTCGAGTGTACTGATATGAGTCACCTGTGAAATGACAAAGCACAATGGCCACTCTGCACGCTGCTGTGCGACCTGTGAACCTGCTGAAGAGGCCCATCTCCCAGGGCACAAAGTGTTGCAGCGCTAACAAACTCCCAATATTTAGAACCGCCCAACAAACGCTCCACACATATTTTCACAGCTCCTTCTTTGATGCCCACAAAGACGCACGTCTAAATTCCTCTGTATTATTGTGTAAATGAGTCACAAGCAGCCAGATTGTTGCTGAAACCACAGAATAGCCTTCTGCAATTTATCATTTTGCAGCACGTTGAGCGCTCTGTATCTATTAATAACTCGGAGCTACTGTGTGGGAGGCCACATTCCTAAGTTTACATTCCTAGTTCATTATGTCTGTAGTGTAAATTTCCAAATCTGCCATTCTGGGATGTGGTAAAAGCCCCTGGCATTCAGTGTCAGCAGGATTCCATTAGTCAGCTTTAGGTGACTTTACATGCCTGAACCTTTTTAAATTAGGACTCCACATTCATTACCAATAATGGCTTCAGACAGCCCTGACCCACCACAGAAAAGGGACTGTGGCAGAATAATTTGGAGTTTGCTAAAAGGCTCCCTAACATAATATCCATGTTAAGGAGCATGTCAACAGATACTTGTGTGCGACAGATAGCTCACGGTGGAAGCGGGAGTTATATTATACTAATGTGTACTAACACAATAACATTTTTAAAAAGGCACTTTTCTGATTCCGTGCCAGAGAGACGATGAGGATGAAATCCAGCTCATTCTCCTCAGAGCGCGTGTAGTCAGATGGGAGGACGTGGAAGTTTTTATCTTGCAGTTAAGGGGTCCGTGCAGTGTCTGCATTACTTGATCTATCATGTCTAGGTTAGAGCTTGGCTCGGTTCTTACGGCAGTGGTTCTGTGAAGGTGATCCTTGTTTATTGTGAGGAGATACAGATTGTATAAAGAGTGAGGGAGGATGGAAAACAAATTTATTTTTCTTGATAGTCCTACAATACCACTTGTGTGATGTCAATGTGGAGCTAATTCTTCTTATTTCATTTTGCTCCTGAACACTTCAAGTTTCCTAAAGATTTTTTTTTTTTTTTTTTTTTTTTTTTTTTTTTTTTTAAATCTCTTATGTGGGCTTTTCTTCATCAATGGCCTCAAAATGTAACCAGCAACCATTAAGAGTGACCTTTGGGATCAGTGAGCTCATTTCTGAAGCGATATCTTTAGCTTTGTAATGTAGTGTTTACCACGATGCTCTGCATTTTTACCCAAATGAGAAAGCACAGCAATGACGTGCACAACAACCATGACTATCGGCAACATGTGACTACATCTCGTGTTTCCTCTAAATGCTATGAGCCTTTATGTGCCCATAGAGCTCCACAGCTACCGTATTTAATAAAGGTCAAGGTCTGACACTATGCAGCTCTTTGTTAGATGTACAACTACAGTGTTTGTAAAAAATAACGCGTCGGCTGTTTGACGACAGGCAACATTTCAGTGGTGCTATAACAGGTGAATCACACATCAAGCTTATCGGCTACAAGCTTGATCATAAATTGAGAGATTCTTAAATGTGGAATTGTCTTTTGGGTTTAGACTGCTGTTGGGATAAAACAAACAAGACATTTGAATATCACATCATGGGCTCTTTTTCACTATTTGCTGACATTTTATAGACCAAACTAGTTGTAGCTTGTAGCTGCCAAATTTGATGTTTATAGTGATAATTTAGATCGCTGACACAGTATTTTTCGTCAAATCGCATTACATTAGCTGTGCAGCATGTACAGTACAGTGAGTAGACATGAGGTGTCATTGATGTATGGTATGTTATTCAGAAATATGGTGTTGTACATAAAAAGTACAGTGATAGAATTGTGGGAACAAAGATTTAGGACTGGACAAGGTTACATGATACACAAAAACAAATAAATATACTTTTGAATGTGAGCTCGCAATAAATCTTGTTTTATGAGAATGCAAGCCTGTTCCTTTCAGTCTGGCATGCTATCAAGTGCTGAGCTTAAAGCCATTCGTGTTCAGTCCACATCAATTCAGCCTTTTTTTTTTTTTTCCTCACCAATTGCTGCCATGAGTGTCTGGAAAGTTGAGAGGAGGGTTTTGCTCCCTTACAAGCCCGATTGACCTGCTTTTTGTCCAGACAACTTCCAATAAGAAGGGGTCACTGTTCTTTCATTGGTGTCTTGCATTCTCGTCTCCTGCATGTGTCTGAATTGTTAACCCAAGACACTTGTGCAACTAGCATCAGAAATAGTGCATGTATCCCTCCATGTTAGTCGATTCCATGCGTTCCATGCATGAGTAATCATGACAAACTAGTATTGGTTTCTTTTTTGAAAAGTCTGCCAATCCTCTTTGTGCTTTTAAAATGGGAATTATGCATGGATTTCTGTTCGAGTAAGATTTTAATATTGTCTGAAGTTGGGGTACACATGCATGAAAGCAAGTGGGAAAGTTAAACACATTCATCTGCTGGCCTAGGGTTTTGCTCTCACATGTTTGTGTAATATATTCCTGCCTGCTGGACAAGCCGAGGCTCTCGAATGTGCACCTTCCATTCTCCCCGAGCCTACTTTTATTTTTTTATCACTGAATAATCATTAAGAGCAAGGCCATTTTGATCTTCTGCCTCAATAGGCCTCAATTAAATATTCATTCATTCATTCTGATGTGGCCTCCTCAGCACCTTCTTTGGTATGTGTGTTAGAGAGACAAAAGGCTGTGCTTTTGATTACACAAGCTTGGGCTTTTTCAAAGAGATCAGCCACCATTATATAGAGTTAAACAATCTTTTCCACTGATCAACAGAGTTGTTGGTAAAATGTTTACTTTGCCAAGGATGAATGAATTTGTCCTTGTCGGAACGAAAATAAGTCAGTTTGCAAACCTTAATTGAGTCTCCAAGGCTTTTGTTTCATGTGTCGTGCTGTAGTGCCTTGAACTGCAACAATTTATCCGCAGCTACGCCCCATTTGGTTTCCTTATCGCCAAAAATATACGGGATACCCTTTCAATGTGAAATTGTAACACCATTAAATTATTTTAATCTACAGGAAGTATCAAACTCTAAATAACAGTGTTTGCAGTTTTTCTTTTTGTAAATAAAAGCAATATACATGAGTACAACATATTATTACATTTGCCTTTTGGTCATGTTGGTGTCATGGGTGCAGGGATGGCAATCTTAGTCACTTGCTCTGTTGATGCAACACTTTTGTAAATAACAATTTGATGGATATAGGCATGGCATTTAATACATAATCATTGTCCACAGAGGACTTACTGCATCGATTTTCATGATCCCTCCCTGACTCTTAAGTTTGATTATTTACACCTGCTTTTCCTACTGTGACATGTCAAAATGTTTGTCATGAAAAACAACATCAAAGCAAAAGGACTTTGAGATACAAACTTCAATACAGGATCAGTAATTGGAAGTTTTTTTTCTTTTACAGATGATGAAATATTGAATATGGTTATATTCCCCTAAATCCTGTTCTGTTGTAATTACTTTTGCATCTGATTCATTATGTGTAAAACATTGTTATTTGTTCAAATGTTACCAACAATGTTTTGTTTTATGTTTCATTAACAAAGAGCTTTAGCCCAGTAAGGTGTTTTCTAAGGCTTTTAGTCGTCATTCACTGATGTAGTCTGTCATAATTAACAGCATCTGTCTTGTTATAATTGCCACACTCAATCACCATAGAGACCCTTAAGTTATTTTAATGCTGCAAAGATACTACACTTCTTTACCTTTTCAAGATTTTAATCAAAATGATTGACCGTGACTTAAGTGAATTCATCTTCTGTTCTTTGAGTTACTCATTATTTACTGCAAAATAAAAATGTAGCCAAGCATCATACACCTTGTCCAAAATGGAAGCCAACCAGCTGCTAACACGGTTGTGAGACTTGTAACCATTCAATGTGTCACTTTTGTCTCCAAGCACGGTAACAGTCATTTCGAATCCTGTCAGCAAACATGCTGGAGAAAGCGTACAATGTAAAATAAACAAAGAGAAAGCCTTATTAGTATTACACAAAAAAAATAATTTGGCTATTGTTCTAGTTGTGAGTGCTTATTATTATTATTAAGTCTTATTATACCTTTTCACTATATGGAACATGTCTTCAGCCCTGCCATTGCATGTATCACTTGATTCAGCAAGTATCTGAAAGCGCAGTGGGTGAACAATAGGTCCAAGGATGATTTGCACATGAATGATGTCTGTGAATGAGAGTGGGTTACAGAGGAAGGCTGTCTCTCCATAGTCAGGGCAGGAAGGTTTCCTCCCCTCTGCCCCCACTCCAAAGACCAGGTGAGATTCTCCGACACAAAGGGCCAAGTGAAAATCTGTTCAGCATGGACGCCTAAAACCCTTATTATGGTGATGCTTTACGGAGGATTTCAGTGGACCTATAAAAAAGCACTGAGTTGCGCCCTGGATACTGCTTCTTTATGGATTGCTGTTACATGTATAGGGCTTTGATTACAAGACTATATGTTTTGCCATATATAGATATATACATATATACATATATAGATATAGAACAAGTCTCCATTTCTGTGTGGAACCAAGATCATTCTGTCAGTGCCGGTGTCTTTGTTTGTCACTCGTTATATTTGGTATATTCAGGTTTACACTGTTCAATTGCATATTCCTGTAACATGTGTATGTTATCATTAAAGTGGATGTATCATGGTCATGTTTTAGGTTGATACTTGTATTTGGGTTTCTACTAGAACATTTTTACATGCTAAAACACATTATTTTTCTCATACTGTGTTAGAATTTACCTGTATTCACCATCTGTCTGAAACACGACATTTTAGCGCCTGTCTCTTTAAGGCGTTCTCCATCTGGAAGTGTGTTCTAGCTCTGTGGTGCACAGGAACTACATGCTGCCTGTCCATGTTCCGTTTGTACTCTGAGAACAGTTAGCAGTCCTCTACCTGTTGACCTGAGAGGCAGAAAGAGCTCACATTGTAAAAGACAGTCAAAGATTAATTTTGGTCCTAAGCACATTGAGAGATTTAAAGACAAGAAGCAGGATATTTAACTCCATTCTCTGACACACTGGAAAATATCTGAGAACTGGTGAAATGTCTTTACGTTTCTTGGTCTTTGGTAGAAGTGAGATTGAGTTGTCAGCTGGAGAGAGATGAAGTACTTCCAATCATTTGTTAGTTTAATTCCCTTTCCACCAAGCAGTCCAGTTCAGTTTGTTACACATTAAAACAGTTATTTTCCTGTTTGCAAAAGTTGTGGATGCTAGCAATAGAGCCACACAACATTCTTGGTACCACCTTGGCCAAGCGGGCTAGAAGGTGGAGTTTAAACACAGCAGACCACTGATTAGTCAGAGAGAAGCGTCACTAGTGCGACACGGGACATCCTGACTCGCACAAACATTCTGTTTTTAAAACAGCCAAGCTGCCGTCAATAGCATCACAATTTTTTATTCTCTCAAACTTGTTTTGAAAAAACTGGCAGCTTGCAAAACTAGGATGGACACACTACGTACACAATTCTGCACAATTCAGGAAGTGCAAATCCTCTGTTTGGTTGCTGTTGAAATGATTCGGGGAATGTCCCGTTGAAGATGATGTCACAGCAGTTTCATCCTAAACATGAGGGGGGACCGTCTGCAGTGGTAACACGGCATAGAGAAAAGGACCTGGTGCCAAAAGTGAGTCGAGTCGAGCAGAGGAGGTCCGAGGATTGAGCCTTGGGGATCCCCGCACATCTTGGTTCCCCTCAGATGTATAATTACCAATTGAGAACAAATATATCATGTCATAAGAATCATAATCCCACCAGAACTGGCCAGTTGGTTTGTCAAATTTAGCTGGTAAATTACCTTATGAGAACGCAAATGCCATGTTGGGCTGTGACTACATCATTTTGTTTGCATGTGCATGGTTCACATGAAAGTAATCTTAACTGTGGGTCCTGTTTTTTAAAGAATCATACTTTGTGACTTAGAACACATGAGTTACTAATTGGAGCACTGGATTTGGAAACATCTCCAGGTATTGGTGCATCAACTTAGGTTAAAGGCATGGTTCTCTCCTGCCTGAATGAAAGTAACTAAAGGAGTAAGAGTCCAGGAGTCATGGTAATCTTCTCCAAACATGGCTGGAGTGAACAGAACCTATGTGCCCCAGTTTTACCTCTGCTTGTGGTTCGTTTTTTTGTGATCCTTAGGCTGAGGGGATGAGAAGGACCGGCTATTCTGGGCCATAATGAAGAGACCCAAACTGGAGTTGTGGTCAGAGATCTCCAAATCTAGATTGCCAGATTCCTGCTCGAGATGCTTCAAATCACATTATAATTAACTGCATTTAGGATGGAGAGCAGAGAGTCCCTGCTTATAGCTATTCCCATGATTCTCTCTCTCTCTCTCTCTCTCTCTCTCTCTCTCTCTCTCTCTCTCTCTCTCTCT